ACTGAATCAGGACTGCAAAGGCATACATGCACTGAAAATAGTTTATATTTTTATTTTTCAGTAAAGGAAGAACAAAAACCAGTCCAAACCAGTCCACACTATGGATTTCAAAGACGCCTAGGAAGGATAGTAGCATGGAGGTATAATGATTTACTGACTGAAAACAAAGCAAAAATAACATTTTGCAGTCAGGCTGTATTGTAATGTTGTCAAAGAACATTAGCTTGGAATGGCTTGAAAATGCAAAGGATCTACAAGAATGAACTGTAAGCTCCCCCTTGAGGCAAATGTTCAGATCATTTTTATATAATGTTTGATTATTAATTCAGTAACAAAATATGCCATGCTAAATAAAGGGTATGTGTTTATTTTGCTAAGAGATGTAAGTTAGCTAGTTGTGAGCAATGAAATGAAAAGAGCATTTGAAGTTTTTATGGGGAAATATCTACAATGTATATCAGTTTTAAGACTGTTTGTAGTTAAACAAACCCTCTTTCTTTCCTTTAGTCTCTTGTGCATTGTAACCTAGTTGATGTACTGTAAATGGAACTGACAATTTTACAGTGTAACAATTATTTATCTTTGCATAAATGTTTTATAAAAAATATTTGTTTAGTATTTATTTGCACACTTAACACCGTTTTTGATCTTCAGGCACACAAATTATTTTATTAAATATTAACATGATTGCTGGCAGAGATAACAACCATGTTGTGATATTGATCTGATGTGACGAAATTCAAGGGTTCATAAAAGTAATTTGGTGTCATATGAATCCACTTTTCCAGGGAATGACCATAACTTGTTGACATATTGGTCCAAGGTCAACATAAATAACTTGGTAAGTGATACTTCATTAATGAGGTGTCCTTTGAAGGCAGCCATTAGTTGTTATTTAAATAAAATATTTTTTACTTCTTCTAAGGAAAAAAAAAATATTATCACAATGGGCAAGAGTTTAAACTATTTGTTTCAGTAATCTATGTAAAAAGGACATTAAAGATCATTTAAATATAGCTAATAATAACAAACTATTGTATTGGAATAATGTAATGTTGGATGAAGGAGAAGACAAATGGCTTTTCCTGGAAGTGGCACTAACTGATTGATGCCAACATTACCTAGACTATTAGCTAGAAAAGCATTAATTATGTTAATTGATGGACAGATTTAGAGATAACCCTGATGCATTTAAAGTCATCTTTTAGAGTTGTTGTTAACATCATTAATGTCCATTCTCTTTGGCTCCTTAAGAGCTTTCTGTGCCATAAGAATGGTTTTACCAGTCATTAGGAGCAGATCTTGGGGTGGTAGCAATAGCACTCTGGCTGATTTGGTGGTGACAGTGGTGCTGTAGCAGAAAGTTAAGCAGTTTTTCTGCAGTTGCAGCAAGAGTTCAAGAACACGGGCTCAAGCTAGTTGGCTTTACATTAACACAGATTCAAAACTACTGCTGGGTGGAAGTTGGGGAGGGGGAGGTTGCCTACACTGTGCTAGCTGATGTTGACCACAGCTTTGAGTTCAGAGACAAATGTGTATCAATTTTTCTGAGTAAAGAAAAAATATTTACAAGTTCAATACCACTAATACTAATTGTGCAATGCTATTGCTGAATCACTTTGGGGAGCATCTTAAAGCTGATGTTATACCATGTTTTTACTTCCTCTTTGAAGTGGCCTTCTTCTGTAGTTCAGGTTAAGTATTGCTATTCCTACTTAAAATATTCTGTAGTCTTTCCAGTCAGTCACAACTTCTTTCTTTGCTCAATCCCTTACTTCAATTTCCTTTGTAGTGATTGTAAATAGAGAGGAAATACTATGATCCTGCATGATCACCAAGACCAGAATTTTTTTCTCCTGACTTAAGTATTGCTTAACTGAGGGCAAGAGATTCCTCTTTCTTGGGAACAATTGCGGTAAAAATAATTTAGTTCTTTTTTTTATGGTTTTGAAGGATTAACTCCCTTTAACTTAATTTAAGGAATAACTATTTCTTCATACTTTGTGCTTCTAAAGGACATATAAAGGTGTCACGATCAATATGATGATTAAGGCAGCAGAAGTGATTTCCATGCAGCAGATAAGAGAATGCAAATACCTTCAGATGTATTTCTTATGGGGTGAAGGTGATTGCTGGGCAGTTATCAGCATGGACCAGTCTAAAACTCTGTGTGAAGGAAGAATGGAAAGTGGCATACAAAGCTTTTATTATAATGTACTCAGATTCTATATCTAAATAAGAAATATTGGTTATTGGGATAAAATATTTCCAGATCATATCACCTGCTTAGGGAAAGGAAATATATCCTTCCGTGTATTTCCTTTGCTTAGGATGTTGTTCTTAGATACTAGGTATAATCTAAAGAAACTTAAGAATCCTATGTAGAAGACTGCAAATAGTGCACAGATCAAACTTATAGTCTTATGGCTCCCACCTTTAAGCTGGTGATTCTTTTCCATGCAAAACATACAAATCCTATACATACACAAATTCTTTCATCTTTATTTCCCTTATTTCTACACATACAAGGGAGATAGGATTAAGGGTGAAAGGAGGAAAGATATGTGTGTTGCACACTTGCAGAGAGAATACCTAGAAATTAGACTCTATGCTGATATTTCCTTTGGATTTTGTTGGAGCTGAGAGAATCCAGAAGAACAACAACAGGTATTTATGTGACATGGTCCATTGGTGGCAACAGAATTGCTATTTAAAAAGAAAAAGAAAATCAAAAAACCTGACAAAAACCACCAACCCTCTCTGTCCTTCATATTCACATTAACATCTACAGAATGGAGAAAGGAAAATGATTTCCCATGTCAAGTGACAGATTTCATCAACTACAGCCACTTTGAATAAGCTTGTTGGCTTTTATGTACAGCTATGGGGTCCCCTCGTGGTGACTACATTCCCTTCTGCTCACTGCCTCTCTAAATCTCTTTTAAAGGCCAGCAGTAGGTGAGGCAAAGAACTGAAGGATGAATAGTGAACCTTAGCTAGTCCTCAGATGGATAGCATGGCTTCAGTTTGGTATTTCAAAAACATTATACTCCCACTGCCCCTATTTTCCCCAGGGAATATAATTTTTTTTTTTTCCCATAGTGATGTTGGCCTTTTGCAAGCAGGAAGCATCTGAGAGAGAAAGCTGTTGTTTCCTCCTTTATTCTTTTAACCTTTTTTGGGTGCAAGCAAATGTAAGTCATCATCAAGCTTCCACCCTCTTTTTCAAAGCATCTTGGAACTGTGACTCAATTGAAAATAAACCATGCTGCCTATGTGTTTTAAAATAGTAATGACTGGTTTCTCCACAGGTTAATATGCAGGCAACTGAAATAATGGATGCTGAATGAAGGCTAGAATGTGGTCAACTAAGGTTATGTTAGTTTTATCTAGACATAAATTCATTGAATAAAATGTTTATTTTTAATTATACTAGTCTATATTACATGTATGTTTCTATACCAGAGTTTATACTAGGAAATTTTTTAGCCTGATGGGATGGTTTATTAATGTATGCCTCACAATACATCTATGCTTTGCAGTTTGGGAAGGAAAAAATGCACATAAGTAAAAGTTTATTACTGTATTTCTGGGAAGCATATTTTTTATAGTGACTGGATCTGCTTTGAGTTGGGTCTTATATTTCATTAACAGACTGAAACACAATTTACAATAGTGATGTAAGGTAAAGAATGCAGAAATCGTGTCACATTTTAATTATGCATTTTGTATTTTCATGTAGTACTTGGGAATTAAAAATGTATTAAATTCCTACACTAGGCTGAAAACAGAAATAAAGGATATGCATCATATTACACTAACATTAAGACACCATTTAATTTAAGGCATTTCAACAAGTAGAAAATTATATTTTAATAGAAGTCTATTTAGAAAAGAGCTCAAGAAGATACCCCCCCCCCCCCCCCCCTTCTTTTTTTTTCTTTT